TGCATGATTGATTCCTAAACTATGTTAAAATTAACGCATTTATCATACCTGCAATCGGGTCTGAATTTCGTAGTGAGTAAGACAAGGAAACCGTTAGAGATAAACAAGGATAGCACTGGAGTAATGTGTTAGACAAGGAAAGAAATAAACAAGGAAACCGTTAGAGATAAACAAGGATAGCACTGGAGTAATGTGTTAGACAAGGAAAGAAACAGCGTTAGACAAGGATAGCACTAGAGCAATGTGTTAGACAAGGAAAGAAATAGCGTTAGACAAGGACAGCGCTAGAGTAATGCGTTAGACAAGGAAAGAAACAGCGTTAGACAAGGATAGCACTAGAGCAATGTGTTAGACAAGGAAAGAAATAGTGTTAGACAAGGACAGAAAATTTTTGAATGCGAAACTAACGCCATCTCGCGTTTGGCTTCACGAAGTAACGACTCGTTACTAGTAAAACATAATGTGAACAGAGGTATTAGACAAGGATAGCACTAGTGTGCGAGAAGGACAGAGAGAAAACGCTTCCTATTGGCTGGCGGGCCGCCATGGCGGACCTTCCAGGCCCAAATCGAGACGGTCGGTGAAAAATCATTAATAACTCAATAATTACGATGATTTTGAGAACTTTTAGAATTGAAGAATGAAGTGTGGACCTTCAACAACTTTCACATATACTTTTTAGTGCACTAAACTCTTTCAATAATTAGTTATTAATAATTGTTGTGCGAATTGTCGGGAACGCTACGGCAGTCTTTTACGGTTTTTCATTAATATCATTGTTCAGTATCAATTTCCTGTACAATCTTGATATTCATCTGGAAGGGAGAATCTCTGGCTACATTCTAATATAATTTTCAGTAACATATAAGTTGTAGTTTCATAGTTATTAGACATTATTCGGAAGAATACTACACTCGTCGAATACAAGCGTACCACTTTACTGTCAATTTAATGCAATATCGTGGAACTGCACGATTAATTCTGCACTTTCAAGCTTGAAGAATGTAGCACGTACTTTCCTTTATATTCTGCAATAATTTTTGTACACGTATGTAACGCGGTTTATAAAATATTAGCAATTGTTTGTAACAGTTGCACTCACTCAGATGCGATAAGCGAAGGACTCTCGCATATAATGTCTTATAACTCGTAAACTACTTTCTCAATGTTAATAACAATTGTACGAGAAAGTAGGTAAAGAATCATGCTTTCCAGTGAATATATCTAAATGCATAAACTGAATGATTAAAAGTATGAAACTAATGAAAAACCTTAAGAGACAGCCGTATCGTTCCCGACAATGCGCACAACAATTATTAATAACTAATTATTGAAAGAGTTTAGTGCACTGAAAAGTATATGTGAAAGTTGCTGAAGGTCTATACTTCATTCTTCAATTCTAAAAGTTCACAAAATCATCGTAGTTATTGAGTTATTAATGATTTTTCACCGACCGTCTCGATTTGGGCCTGGAAGGTCCGCCATGGCGGCCCGCCAGCCAATAGGAAGCGTTTTCTCTCTGTCCCTCTCGCACACTAGTGCTATCCTTGTCTAATACCTCTGTTCACATTATGTTTTATTAGCAACGAGTCGTTACTTCGTGAAGCCAAACGCGAGATGGCGTTAGTTTCGCTTTGAAAAATTAACTATCTTTGTTTAACACTATTTCTTTCCTTGTCCAACACATTACTCCAGTGCTATCCTTGTCTACCGCTATTCGTATCTCTCTTCGCTATTGATGTTCTCGTCATCCTTATTATATTTAATTGATATTTATAATCAATTTTTAATTGTTTTAACATTACTAATAATGTAGAGATTGTAAAATACAGTTTCTGGTTTATTTTCAAGTAGTTTAATTATAGACTAATTAGTGTTTCTTGTTAAATAGCGATTTAGATGGTAGTTTATGAATTATCGGAAGTATTAAACCCATTTGTTGCATGCTTTAACTTAATAAAGCAGCTTACTGTATTAATTTTGCATTGATTTAACCATTGTATTCAGTAGATCAACCAGAAACTGTTTATAACTGTTATTAAAAATTCTTACAATAAAGAAACGTTACCATTTAAATTTTCGCTAATGGTAATAAACAATTTCTACCTTATCTACTGCATGTAATTGTTAATTCATTGCGAAATTAATAAATTAAGCTGTTCTATTAAGTTGAAGCTTGCAACAATTTTATTTAATACTTCCGATAATTATAAACTGTCATCTAAATTATTATTTAACAAGAAACAGCAATTATTTTATAGTTAAAGTACTTGAAAGTAAAGCAGAACCTTTTTTTAACTATCTACATTATCAGCAATGTTAAAGCAATTAAAAATTTATTATAAATATCAATTTTAAACTGCTTACTACATGTAATTATGCTGTAATTTACAATAGCTATTACTAATAGCGAAAAAAATCAAAGAATATCTATTTTAAAAATTAACTAACCTGGTAATATTTCATTTCCGACGATGCTCTCGATCCTTCCGCTTTGAACGCCGGCGGCAGACTAACAATGAGCAGAACAATGCCTCTTATCTTTCTTACAACCCCAAATTCAACTTTTCCAACGAAAAATCGCGTAATTTCTAATGTTTCTCCATTCGATTAAAAATTGCTAAGATACTCTTTAAAAAAGAGATTTTTTTCCTATTTCCCTTATTAATTTATTAGATATATCTTTTTGCTATTAAAAGAAATTCTGTCTGAATATATCGTTTCATAGTCCATTAGAATTTCCAAGCTCGCAGAAAGAAATTGCTTCGCCTTCTGGGACACTTCTTTGATCGTTTCTGAACGCCTTTTCATTTGATATAACAAGAAGTATACGTTTATAGAAGTATGCACTTTGCCATATACGATTTATAGACCGGCTGGCCCTAAAAGAGCGTGCAAGTTTTACAATCCTGTTGCTCTTTTTCACGCGAGTACTCAATGTGGAACGATTCTATATAGAAACTGGGACAAATTGTGGGCTACTTTCTCGGTGCATCGAATATTTTTCGTAGTTATATTGAATCGTTGTCCAGGTTTTGAGAAAATCATTGTCGAGTTAATTTCACGATGGAGAAGTATTATTATACAGGGTTAGGTAGGTTTAGTAGAGATCTGCTTTACCACCCAATTAATTAAAACAATAATTTCAAAGATTTGTATTTCAATTAACTATTTTATGTAGAAACTGTAATTTTTATTTTGCCTTGTTGATGTATAGCAATTTTATTATTAAAATTTGCTTAAGTATAACAGATATTAAATATATTCTTTATTTAATGTGCAACAAAAAAATACAACAAAACTGTTAGTAATATTATTGAATTTTAGTAATAAGTAATTATTATTTTAGTAATATTAGCAATATTGAATAAATTAAATTAAAAAATTCGTCGTTACGTATGAAACTTAGCTGAACCCAAATTTTTTTCTAACTTCACTTGGAACAGAGCTACAACCTAGCCCAATTGCCATCACAAATAAACTCATCCTGTGAAAAAACGCTTGCACTGACAGTGACATAACATCGGAGATAAGAAGAATCCTTCTAAAAAGAAGGAAACTTCTTCGGAACCAAATTACAGTATAAAGATTTCACACAGAAGGTATCATTTTCAAGAGAATCAAGTACAAATTTCGCAAAATCTCTCGTGAAACTGCGAACGGTGAACGCGAAACGGTGGAAAAAATTCGACGTACAAAATTCACCACTCCATTTGCCCCTGGCAAACGTCTGATACTAAATTTTCCCCGAAGCCTCGAGGAAACGTTTAAATTATAAAAGACCACGGGTCACTAGCGCGAGCGCGCGCCGCCTTCCTCGGGAAATTCCAATTCATCGAAAACTAAATTCGTCGAACTTTTTCCTTCGCGAAATCGGTCTGCTAGAAGCGTTCCATCCCACGGGAAATATCCTTCAATTTTTATGTCGGGAACGTGTAACGAGTCCGTGAGAACGTGTGTTCCAATGTTACCGACGAAGTAATTATTACGCAAGCAGAGAGAAGAGAAAAAGACGAGGCGTTGATTCGCGAATACGGGTTGTGGTGAATAAAAATTTCGAGAATAATTGATTTTCAAAATTAGATTTGAAAGATGAAATTGACGCAAGGTCGTTATCGAAAAATGTAAATTGTTAGACGAAAAGCAGTTTCAAATTTACATTTGACTAATAGTTGAATACTGATCATTAGTGTCAGTACTTGATACAGTACTTAATAGTTTATCATGACAAATCTATACAACGAACAAATAAAAGAATAAATAATTATTCTGAAGACAGCAACGCAAATCGGTAAAGGAAGGAACTAAAGAGACAAACGAAAAACAAAGAAGAACGCTGCGGACGATGTCACGCATATATCTATGAATATTGATTGATAACTTATCGACCATCGATCAGTTAGACTGCTCAGTTTTATGCAAATTTATATTTTTCAGAATACAGTAAAGAAAGTAGACTTACGGTAGAAAATTATTTCGCCTACTAGGTATTATATTATAAAAAGCACTATAATTTTCGATATTTTATATATTTTTTCATATTACGCATATTTTCATATTTAAATTGTATCCCTATAAATGCATAAAAATCCGCAGTCTAATGATCGTATAATCTGATCTATTCTTCGGTATGAAACTGATGAAGTTAGAAATATGCTATCTTACATAAATGTATTTTTCCTTCGTAATTTCCTTTACTCGATCGAAAAAAAAAGAAAAAAGAAATTCACAGAGAAAAGTCGCGAATCTAGGCGAATACTGTGATCGATTTTAAATTTAAAAACTCTTTCGTTAGAATAGCTGAATGTGCAGAAATATTGTCACGATGAAAAATCTAGGATGAAACAATTTCAGATCGAACCTGTACTATATGTATATACAGTGGTAAAACGTAATTGTTTAGATTTTCGATTATGACTACTTCGACGAAAAGAAAATTCTCAAAACTTCGTTTCTCGTGTTTTCTGTACTAATGCAACTATTAATCGGAATTGTTACAGAGAACGCGAGTCGTTGGTGCAGCTTCAACGGTACCTGGAGCAGCTATAGTAACTACAGTTTGTGCCACGACGTCCGCGAACCCTCTATCGAGGGTGGAGTAGAAGTGATCTCGACGACTATTTACTTCGTCGGATACAGCATCTCGCTACTCACCCTGATCGTCGCTGTCTCAATTTTCCTTTATTGCAAGTAAGTGTTTTCACGTGAAATTTCAAATTTATTTTTCGTCAACTGAATAGATAGGCATTTAAAAAAAAATCTTCCAAGGAATTCTCAATTTATATATTTATTCATACTTTCATATCTTATATCATTGGCAAAATAGATAAATTAAAAAAATCTTCCAAGGAATTCTCACTTTATATTTTTATTCATACTTTTACATCTTGCCAGCTTAAATCCTCAATGCTCAAATCTTCCTCTATTTCACGTGCCATAAATGATCAATTTTATTTTTATTATTATTTCCCAGGCGTATAGAAACAAGTTTCCCGTTTATTTGCAACGCTGCCGCTTACATTTTTGCAATAGAATAGAAAGGACAGCGCGATATGAAATGCGAATGAAAATAATTAAACAAAACTGCACTCTTTCGAGGATTAGCTGTGTAAATTTAAGTTGCGTTCTTTTATTGCGACAAATATTTGCAAAATTAACTAGCTCCTTTGGTAATTATTAAGCAATTTTTGCTTCTGTATTATAACAATATGCACCGAACTGAAATGATCGTCTGAAATGTCAAGAGGGTGAAATTAGGGGAAGGTGTGGAATTGTCCAGGTTTAATGGTGGCCAAAATTTTCCGCAGATCCTAGAAAGTAAATATGCAAAGGGTTTAAGACTTAATAGGGAACACACAGACATTCTATTTCGTATATTATAAATGATAATGTTACAGATGAAAATTCAATCGAGCTTTTTTCCGCTGCGTTGAAATGTACATTTATTGATTACAAGTTTTTTAGTTTGTGTTATAAACTATCGATATCGTGGTCAATATAGAAATTTGAATAGGTCGAAAGGAAATGGCTTTAAAGAATGGACGAAATGTACAAGCCTTATTTTTGTTAAACCTTGATTCTGGTTTTGGCGAATAATTACGGAAAAGACTGTAAAAAATCAGAAATTTCACACTCGAATCACCATAATTTTGTAATAAAATGCAAATTTGAGAATCCTCTTTGGTCAAGGACTAAACGCCGTAGTTCTGGTTTAAAGTACCAAAAAACGAGCGCTCTTTTAAACCTTTCGCGACCCACTAGCGTATGCGTGTGCGTAATCTGCATCGTTAAAATTCAAGTTTTATTTATTATAACTACGTATAAACCAAGTGTTTTTATCGTAACAAACTGAACTAACGTGAACGAGAAAATTTTACTTTGTATTTTTATTAGAAAGACAGCACTCTTAACTCTACCGGAACTCCAAAGAAGAGTACAAAAAAACATTCAAACTTAGTTTCTTTTTCATAAAATCGAGTTGTTTTCATAAAATAACTTGTGCAGGCCGCCGATAATCTATTTTTACAATAAAGGAATATTAACCTTTAAATTTTCCAACTTTGAAATTGTTAATTCATTGCAAAATTAATAAATTGAAC